GTGGTGGTCCTGTACAAACTTAATTCGCCACCGCTCCTACCGGTAACTACAATTACTGCCTCACGTAACACACGGAAACGCACCCCCCCCCGGTAGGCTGTAGCTTCTGTAGGCGACGCCTGCACAGTGCCTTGGAATTTGACGGGTGCACGGGCCGGGCTCACAAATTGGGCGTGATTGGTTGCCCGAAAGCCCATCTGGTATCACTCGGTGCATTGCGGTCTTGTTTAGTTCCCCTGCTCACACCTTTGGTCTGCATCATTTCGTTCATCTATCCTCCTTCGTCCCGCACGTCTCCGTTTTCTCAATTTTCACTTCTCTCTCCATACAAGACGTTGATTCACGCATAGTGCAAAGGCCCATATGTCAGACACTCAAAACTTTAATACATGTATGCAACAAAATATGATCTCATCTCGTACTGAACCAACAACAAAGACAACCAAACACGACCACTTACACGAGCTCAACCCGGCTTCTTTGGTCTGCACAGCCTTGCTCTGCAACACGCCCAAAATATACCCCCCGAATCTCCTGTGCGACGACGACGTACGCGTACTTGCATTGCATCCATCACACAGCAGTACACGTATGCCATGTGCTCCTGTACTGTACAAGTCCCGGCCCGCTGCCGGCCGTGCATGCTTGCTCCGTTGCTCCTGTCGTCTCACTGGTGCTTGGGTGGCCGTTGCGCGCTGTGTGATGCATGGGATGTCCCTCAGCTGCGCGCCTGCGCAAAGGGGACGCGCAAGCAGAGCTGCGGCGGGGGCACTGGCCAGAGCCCGGCCGCAGTACGTCGTCGATCTCTGCAGGCCCGGTGGCCCTCTCGTGACTTGTATCGCATGCATCCTGCTGCGACAAGTGATTGATGAGTTCAGTATTGTGTTTGCACTGCTCCCGATCTGTGCCAAGAGAACAAAAAATATGAGTTTTGTTTAGATTGGGGTTAGGAATCAGTATTTGACACTGTAGCACTTTCGTTTGTATTTGACAATTATTGTCCAATCATGGCCTAACCAGTCTCAAAAGATTCGTCTCGTAATTTACAATTAAACTGTGTAATTAGTTATTTTTTTATCTATATTTAATACTCCATGCATGTGTCCAAAGATTTTATGTGATAGAGAGAGAGTGAAAAAACTTGTAATCTAAACAAGACCATGATAGGGAGTCGTAATGATGTTTCAGTATTGCAGAGAGAGAGAGGAGGCTGCGGCTGTGAGGTGGCAGTTAGATTGTCTCCAACAATACGTACCCAAACAGAGACCCATTCACTGGTTTAGGTCACGCACAGTAGCCCGAGTCCGGCACCCAAAACAGGTCTTCTCCAACAGCGTATGTAGAAGTCCTCGCCAACCACCGCCCGCTCCACATCAGCCTCTCCTCTCTTTCCCTTCTCTCGGCGACTGGCGAGGAGCTGAGGAGAAGGATGAGCAGGAGGAGGAGGCAAAGAGCATACCAAAACAAAACATCCGCCACCAAATGCTCCAAAGAAACCCATCAATGGAGGCTTAGACCCCGCGTAGGACGACCATGCCCGCGAGTCCGCGACCAGAACCCGACGCGGACCCCACCCCCACGGTCCCGATGCACCCATTTGCAAACACCGTCGCCTTGGCCTGGCGTCCATAATCCCGCCCGCAGTGGGTGGCGGAAGAAGGTGGCCCCGGAGAAGCGCTGGATCCGAGGCGGCCGCCGCTCGAGAGCGGTCCGGTGCCAACCGTGGCGCCCTTCCTCATCGCCGGCTCGAAGGAGAGTCCTCCCAGCGTGTAGTCCGCTGACCAGCGCTCGAAGGTGGAGGAGCATTGCGACTGCACGCGAAGCGGCGGGTCGGCACTGGCGCGGCGGCGTGGAGCCGAGCCACCTCGGCGTTATGAGAGATGCTGCTGGCGGGCCACCATCGGAGATTTGCGTACCGAGGAGAGAGGGGATGCTTTTTTCGTATCGTTTCGGTCGGTAGGAAAAATGGGTGGTACGTCTGGGTGAGCCGTTGGAGAGTGTTTTTGGTAGGCAAAACCACTGTAGAGGACATATTTTGGGTTTGCATTTTGTTGTTGGAGACAGTCTTAGCATGCCACCCATTGCAAGATGTGTCTCTCATCCAATCCAAGTATCCAACCCATGGTTCTAGATACTGAGGCCTTGTTTGGGTTTGTTGACACAAAATGTGACGATCGTACACCAAGCCGAAAAAGCGTAAGCTTCAATCGGGTGCCGGGTGCTTCGTGATCCGGAACGCGGTCGGATTTGACACGAAAGAAGCCGAGCGACAAAGGATAAAAGCAGTTAAATGTCAAACCGAACATGTCGGGTGAGACGAGCGAGCCCGTATATACTGACCACGAATTTACTAGCGACATACGACTATAGGAAGGCATGCGCCAACAAGTTTATAAATCATTTGGCTAATCGTAGGATGGACATACGTAAAGATCGATTGCCGAATGCATATGCATGGGAAGACATGTTTGAACAAGTGAAATTGATTATGCGTTAATGCATATCCAAGCTCGACAATCCGGTAGAGTTGGGGTCCATGAAGAAAGGCGTGTAGATAAACACGATTAAGCCAATCTAAAACACAAATCACGCGCACGACACCTAGTTTCGTCAAAAACTTAAAGCGTGATTAACATACATGAACCCACAACATGTGACAATCTAGATTAAAATAATTCAGCCATTACGAGCATGTTATCTATTTGCAAAGGTATTATGAAAGTAATGATCATTGAAGCTCGAATAAAACCATAGAAGAGGGCGAATAATATCAATCTAGATTGGGCAAAAGTGTGCTACAAATATATAAAATATTTAAAACATGCAAACAGGATAACTTGATGAATCTATTTAGATTTTGCCGTAATCTAATAGAGCCGATAACTGCCTCTTGCTTCCACTAAGCATATTGAGCAAACGCTTTGCCGCGGTATCTACTCATAAACAAAGTATAAGCAAAGACTTCTTGATTGTCAAGCAAAGATCCATACGATCATTGAAAACAAACAAGACTACTTGCATCACGTCTAAATCCACCGCATGATACTAAACATGATAACAAGGTTGTCGGAAACTTTACGGAGGTCGACGGATCGATGACTCCTCTCGAAGAACTCGGACGACACGACAAAAGGACTCGAAAGTTGGCACGGGGCGGTTGTATTGATTTGGTTGTGAACGCCTATTACAATGGTCGAGGGTCAATATTTATACCCTAGGCGAAACACGAGTCCTAAAGACTACGATTTACAAAGGAACTCTTTAAATAAACTTGGAAACTACGATTCCTTGCCCCAAACTCTCGAGTCCTTTATTATTACAACTTTCATCTTCTCGATCGGCTTTGCTTGCCATCTTCTGCTTTCCCGAATGGAGTTACCGCCTTCCAGAATAACCGACCGCACAAGCATTTAGCCGACCGCTTGCGTTATTTGCCGAACACTCTTCTTCCTGCATGTGGGTCCACCTGTCATCTTCCAGAATTGACCAAAATCCAGTGTTAACAGAGTTCATTCCACTTCAACACATGTGGAACTTCCATTCTACAACACACGTGGATTGCGATGAATACACGAGGCCTGAGAGAGGAGTACTACCATGTGTACTGTACATCCTCTCTCTACATGTGATCACGTGGCACCCCATTCATCCGTTCCTCCGTCGCCTTTGTAGCCAGCCCTGCATTTCTGATCCGGAGCCTACAGATGGCCGTTGCGTGTACGCTCCCACAGTGTTCGTTTCCCAATCGATCGACGGCCACATCATGCATGAACCCACATCCACATCCACTTGTCCCCCTGCCAAAGCCAAGGCTTTGCAAGGGAGAGATCATAACTCATGAGGAGCGAGATGAGAGAGGATAGCTCCAAGCTTCCAAGTACTCGTACTATGCATACATGGCCATCCCATGTTGATGAGAGAAGGGTAGACAAAACAGGGACACTACCTGCATGCTTCTGACTTCGTCTGATGATACGTACGCATACGTACTCCGGTGAGTGATGTCCAGGTCGCCATTCAATTTTCCCTGAGCAACCGATCTGGCGCTCATCAACTGCAAATGTTCCTGCTATGCATGCGCCATCCAACCAGAAACGCATCATCCATCATGGTACACTCTGCAAGCGAGCTAGTGGTACGCACACACAGGGCTGTAGGACCGTGTATCGAATCCAAAATGCTCGATCGGTGTTGTCCAGCGCATGCACGGGTGTTATGACCACTGCAGTTGGACCCCAGCTCTGTACAAGGTCAACATCAGAGATTTGGGACACAAGAATCCAACCAAGGATAGGGATATATATGGCTTTTGTCTGCATTACCAAATATATCATGCTGGATAAAGGCAAACGGGACCAAGTTTGTTTAATCAGCTAGAAATGGTAAAGGGAAAAGGCCAAGGATGAAGATAAACTTTAAACAGTTGTGGGATATCATTCATAACAGATGTGCTTGTACCAGCAACGGTTTCTCCAAACAAAATAGAAGCAGAATAGCAGATAGGCCTTAATTCAACAGACTACGTACACAACACGGGCCTTGACTAATGAATTACATGATGTTGGGGGAGCATAGAGTACATGAGCAAGGTGCACCTATAAGGCCCATTATAAACATTGTGGTACAATGTAAACATTCAAAACTTCACAGCCCAGATAAACATGTCAACTATATTCATCAACTCTACAAGCTACAGCCGAGTTTGGACAGAAATATACAAAACAACATTTCTTCTGTCACCAATATGAAGATGGCCTCAATGCCCAAATCAAAACCCTAAGTGGGAACATGTGAAAAGGTAACCTCTGCAAGATCCCGATTTCCCCGAAGTAGAATTCCTTCAGACTATAAACCAAGGCCGTCCAGCTTCAAAATGAACAAAATAGATATGCTTTCGCCACATGCATGTCCAAAAGAACAGTATGACGCTCACCTTACAAAGGTTTGAAGATGTACACATTGACAATCGGAACAGGAAAAACAGCGGCAAGCCTCTGTTACTAAAGTAAATCCAGGATAGGTTGTTGTCCTGATGACGGGTTGGAATGAGGCGGCCTTGATGCTCGGGAGAGTGCTGACTGTCCCTGATTTCTACCACGCCCTCTTCCAACTGAAGTGGATGGAGGAGGGGCAAGTCTGGGTGGGCCATGTGCGGCATTGTTGGCCGACATGGACAGTGATCCAAAATCAGATTTTGGTTGCATCATGCTCAGACCTGTACTGGAACTACTTGGATTGGAGAGACCTGTGCTCAATCCTCCAATTGGATTTCCAAAACCTAGAGCTGCATTGCCCTGATTCAAATAGCTGCCAGTTGAGTTCATGCCCATTAGATTAGACGTGTTTGACCAGCTCATTTGGTTGCTTTTCATTTGCCCTATAGAATTCCCGCTGCCACCAAACCCTATGTTACCTGAGCTAAATCCAGAAATATTTTGATTTGTGCTCGGTCGATGCTCGGTTGCTGAAATGCTAGTAACGTTGCTAGATTTTGGGGGCCAATCAGCAAAAGGATCAATATCATCAAGTCCATCGATAGACAACCTTCCAGAATCATTCTCCTTGCTAATAGACAAGGGTGCATTGAAGTCGGATGACGAGCTTCTTCGAGGAGGCCACTCAATGTCAACAGGGACACATGAGCCAGAAGTTTGAGGTCCTGAACTGGGCACAAGAGATTGTAGTGATGGTTGTGGTTGCGCAGGTGGGATTGTAGCCGCTGTAACCTGAGAAACTAATGATGGCTGCTTTGCTTTGGTGCTCAAATCAAAGGGGAGTGTTGTGGATTGCTTTGTTTGAGTACTGAAGTCAAAAGGGTCTACTGAGGGTTGCTTTGTTTGTGCACTAGAATCAACTGAGAGAGATGGAACACCGGTTTTCTTACTAGGACCCCAGTCTTCATCCCATGCAGGGCTGCTCTTTGCAGCTGGTATTTGTCCTGACATAGGTTCAGAATGGATCCCATTTGCCAATGAAGGTGATGCTTTTACCTCTGTGTTCCCATTATCTGTAACAGTCACACCACGCTTCTCTTCAATCTTGCTGTAGAAATAGGTAGTAGTTTAGTTGACATATTGATGGACATGTGGAGAGCGATGCAGGATAAATGATACCTTGTAATGTCCTTGACAAAAAGCATATACTTGGCAAATTGTTGTACATTCAGTTGATGTGCTGTGAGCAATGGGAAGATGAGAGGAATCACATATTCCGCAGCAAACTCAACACCGCACTGGATCAATGACAAGAGAGTAAATTGAGTATTACTGAGGTAAATGGCATGGGAAAAAACCGCTCATAATTAAGCAATGGTAAAAAAGAACATGTCAAGAAGACAAGACTAACTTGTTTATAGATTGCATTAGCAACACCAAGTGTGCACATAAGAGTTGGCGCTGTATGGTCAACAGCTGTGCAACGCCTAACAGTCTCCAAGATACCCAGTATACCTTCTTTGTCCAGGGATGGCACAAGATCTCCTAAACAGCGCAGCGCATTCACACGCACCTATAATGCAGGAACAATTAAGAACATAAGATAAGTTACAGTACAAAGTACAGAATGACGTATTCCTAACAGTGAGGCAGGAGCGCATAAGTACAGCACTACATAAGAAAAAACATCAAATATTTGCAAAACGAGTAGATAGAGAAAACGTGTGTGTGAGAGAGAGAACAATGCAACAATGGAATTCTAAAATGTCAATCTTGTTCAACAAGAATGAATTAGAATTAAGGTCAACTAAAACATCACTATACATTGGTAAACTACATGTTGCTAATATTACTTGAGATAAAACAAAATGTAAAGCACTACTACTTCAATAAACACCTATTATGCAGCATTACTAAACTTAGGGCCACCGGCCATCAAGATATATTGGTATAAGAGCAGACCAGAGACACAGGAAAGTAACAAACAGCATGAAAGTTCATAATAACATAAGAAAACAAGCATTCAGTGTTAAAGGGTTCCTATCCTTTGCTTTTCTCGTATGAGCCTGCTAGAACACAAAAGAGGCAGTAGCATTCCATTTTATAAAAGTTTGCGGTATTCCAATGCTTTAATGTGTGTTCATATGATTACAGATAATAAGTACATTGCCAAATATAATAGACTATAGCATATACTGTGCATACCGCAGCAACTGTGGTCTTTAGAGCTAATCCATGCACACGAGGAAGCACAGCCTGTTTGACTAGCTGCACAAGAAAAAATTTATTACATGATCACATAACATGCATGCCTTGCACATACACTGTAACCCATTGGTCAAATGAGTTCAAACAGTCTTAAAAAAAGGGCTATCATTTTTGTACTGGTCAATCAAATGATTAATCTTCATTCTTTAGTATAGCAAAACAGTAACCTTGGTGTCAAGTTGACGAGACAGTGGTACTGTTCGACGCAGAACTTCTTCCTGTAACCGGGGATCATTGTCATCATAAGCCCGGACCAGCATTGGAAGAACATGTGATATCAAATGTTCCTGTGTGGCCTGCAGAAGACAAATATCCTGGTCACAAAGCACCATGCAAAAAAAAAAATACTAATTAAACTACATGTTAATAACAATCATTTGTGGATTAAGGGCACCATTCCATTCAGTCACATAGGCCCCATTTGGGAGAGCTCTGCTCCCTGATTCTTCAGCTCCGCTCCTTGATTCTTCGATAGAGTGATTCCATTGGATTCCTTGGAGGGAGCAGGGTGGGGAGCTGATGAAAATTGATCCCCACCAGAATATAACAGGGAGCAGGGTGAAGCAGGTTTTTTTAGCTCCCAACTCGTAGTGTAAATGGAGAAGTGATTCTTTGCTGATGCCCACCTGAATCAGTTGGCATTTTGAGCGTTTGGCTGGTTGGGAGTGATTCTCTTCGAAGAAGCTGGAGCTGGAGCTCTCCCAAACGGCCCCATAGATAACACAAAGGAATAATGTAGTCTATCGATATTTCACAAGTAACCCTGATTACCTTGTTAATGATGAGATCTGCATGCTTCACAAGCAGAAGTAGAGTTTCACCTGATGCTGAAGTAAACACTGGAACAAGCGCAGGCAGTGTTGCGAGTTCAAAATCCCCTTTATCCTGTAAAAGAGCCAAAAGTAACCGCCTTTTCAGAATAGTCACATCAAAAAGGTCAGTACATAAAATATCATGAAATGCATTTGCTTCAAAAAAAAACTAGTATTCAATTCTACTTGTGGATCTTGCACATAGAATGACATAAACCACATGTAGTTAGGACTTAGGACTTTACTACAGTGATGCATATTTGACATGGAAAGCACTAGCGTTAAAAACAGATACAAGGATGGGATTCCATAATACTCTTTGAATGGACAGAAACTCTATTCATGCATTAAAATGGTACAAATGAGAAACAGCAGAAATAACCTGAGATTCTGCTATCGTTAGAACCATAGGCAAAATCATTGGCTGCATAACCATGTTGCGTAACTCAGCACAAAGAGGAGGAAGAACCTGGTTGCAAAGTGTGAGTCAGCTTTGAAATAACCAATGGATCAAATAAATATAAGGCTGTTCTTTTTCCTAGACAAAACAATTTGAAAGGAACAAACAGGAAAAAAACAGAATCACAATGTCAGAATGGGTCAACCAGAGAATTGATTCATATTTGTGACAAATTTAAGATCTAGAAATTGAGGTTTAGATATTCTTTTATTTATTTCCAACTCTCCATACAGGGAGTACCACATGCTGATAGCAATAGCAACCAAACATTATGGGATCTGGGTAGCTGTATCAGTTTAATTTGACATATGCAGGTTTCAGTAGCTTCAATGAAGTGATACATAACAAAATGATGCTCACAGAGAGTAGACACATGGGGGTAGCATTGATCGGAAGAAGACACAATGGATTTCAGTACTGAACATACTTTATATCGAAGAACTCGGGAGTCGAAATCCTTCCACATATCTGATAATGCCTTCAAAAACTCTGTCTTCTGCATATTATCTCTCTCCTGAAAGGAATGGTATCTTAAAAATTAGAACCATTTTTAGGTACCAAATTGTGTCGTTTCATTCTCTAGTCAAGAAGGCAAGATTCTTGCTGCTGTGTTGACAGGTATAACTCAACCATCTAGTCAAAGGTGACTTTCAGACAGCAAAGAAGCACACCAGATTGCAACCTTTGAACTTATCCAGGAAAATAAACTAAGGGGGAATAACAAATACATACAAGCAAATGATCAAGGAAACGAAGAGCACGCAACCTCGTATCATCCCGGAAGAAAGGAGAACCTGTAGAAAAGGTAGCATTTTAAAAATCATTTCGTGAAACTTATCAGTGGTGGTCATGATTTACCCCACCAGTGGGCGACACAAAATCTCCGTTGATTTTCCCTTAAATGAGGGAAAGAAAGGTGTTAACACACCTGTAAAGGCCATAGCACTAGGACGCGATACTGCATCCATCGATAGCATCCTTTGCAAATCCGATACCAAATCAGAAGGAATATTAGAAAAGGCTTCACTTGTTAAATATGTCAAGGCATTCATGTACTGCAAGAATAGGGAGAAACATCAGAATAGGTGCTGTAGAATGTGGATACAACCCGAACAAGATGGTCTACTTGCAAAACTGAAGTGGAGAAAGTGTAAAATATACAGTTCAGACCATTGATGCTAAAAGAACAAATCTATATTGGGTAAATGCCATCGATCAGATTTTAAAACATACCATTTTAACATTGTTATGGCAGTCCAGAAGTGGTCTACGAGCAACCAGATGGTAAGCTAGACATCCAAAGCTAAACATGTCGCAAGCAGAGCCAACTTTAGAATCTCCACTTCGGACCAATTCTGGTGCAGTATAGTTCAACGATGGTTGAAGAGGTAAAGCTGTATCCTCGACATCATAGTCCTAGAAAGAAACCAAGCAGATAAATTGGCAACAGTTCAGAGCATTGGAATGCAAAAACAAGCAGGGTTCACGAAACAGATCATAAAGTCACCAATCACAGAAGATGTCACTAAAGCACTGAGCCATGGGTATAATGAAGCACTAAATATGCTTAGTTGTCCATTAATAACTTAACCATGGAGCGGTCTAATAATGACTAGCATAGGTTTGTGGTGCACATTGTATATGCAGTTAAAAATCCCAGCAGTAGCAATGTGCTACACGCAATCGCCACATGACAGTAGTGGTATATTTTTAAAGTTGATACGAAAAGATCAGTTCATGTCTAGAAGAAACTCTATGCCAGAAAAATATTTATCATGCAGAACTACATGACAGTTTAGAAATAAATTTGAACCATATAAATTCGGTGGAATATTTTCTGCTACAGCAAGCTTCAAAGGGACAATACATATTAGTCAATGATCTCAAAATATGGTAAAAGAATCTGCAAATTAAAGCCACCAAAATGACAAACTAAATGTAGATTACTTACTAACCGAATAATGGAATAGCTGTGATGAAGTCAAACCACCTGTGGCTTGATCAACCGAAAGAGCAAAACCAAACCCACCAAGCTTCCAAGATCCATTAGAAGTTATAAAGACCGTCTGAAAAAGAAGTAAGATCAGTACAGTACACTAGTGTAGAACTCAATGTTGGCGTAATGGATAACAAGCAAGTAACATCGAACTCATTAGGTATTATGCAGATTCATTTGCAGATACCATGTGGTGCTAAACCATCAGTTCAGAGAGCAACATACATTACAAGGCTCCATATATAGAGAACAATGTGAACAAACGAAATTGCAATTCAAGGAAAAAAATTATGTCCAACAAAGCATTGAGTTTTTCAGCAACTAAGTGCAAGTACAAAAAAAAAGCATCATATACTACATAGCAAGCCTAAATCACAGAGTGACCTTAGGATCACCAAGGGGGACGGCGGCAAGGCAGAATAACTACGTTAAAATGACAAGAGAACACAAAAACTTTGGGACTGTAATAGGATAAGGACAGAGCAAATCAATTATATCAATAACAGAAAAAGAACAAGCAGAAAATTATAAGGCAGAAGAATGGTCATGCATAGTAACCTCAGGCGATATAGCTCGATGGGCAAGATGAGCATTGTTATGAAGAAAATCCAACGTCTCCGCAACTTGTAGCAGTCCATGTTTAATCTCAAGTAGCCCCATTTCCTGAAACGCAAAAAAGAAATTAGCAAATTGCTGGATTGAAAGATGTAATCATAATTTGGCTATCCAAACAATTGTCATGACTAAGGCACCACTTGATACACAGAAATACAAGGAACATATAATCTACAGGCACCATTCACCACTTATATGACCTGAGAAGTTCCAACTCCACAGGATACCAGATAGTAAAATAGAAGTTTTACAGTCGAAAATCGCAAGAATCTCAGTCAAACCTCATGTTTGGATACAATTCTGATTATCTAAAGTCCTACCAAACGCCAGTAGCAGGGTTAGTGTAACAAGTGAGATTAGATAATCTCAGAAGATTTTTACAAGAGTAAAGTACACCACTGGTCCCTAAACTTGTGCCGTTTGATAGAGGAATGCCAACAGGCTTAGATTCACTTAATGATGAGATTACAAGAGGGTTACATATAAATAGAGGATATAGGGTAGCCCAAAGGGCCAGGCCAGCCTGTACAGGTAGGAAATAAATACTCTAACACCCCCCGCAGTCGGAACGTCGTTAGAACGAACGTTCAGACTGGAGCGAAAATCCATAAAAACAGAAGAAGGAAGGCCCTTGGTGAAGACATCGGCGAACTGCGACGTGGTGGGAACGTGAAGCACACGGACAGCCCCAAGGGCGACCCGTTCCCGGACGAAGTGAAGGTCGATTTCCACGTGCTTGGTACGCTGATGCTGAACGGGGTTGGTGGAGAGGTAGACGGCGCTGACGTTGTCGCAGTAGACGAGGCAAGCAGAATCCAGAGGGTGATGCAGCTCCTGCAGAAGTTGCCGCAGCCAGGAGGCTTCGGCGACGCCGTTGGCAACTGCACGGTATTCGGCCTCGGCGCTCGACCGTGAAACAGTGGGCTGGCGCTTGGACGACCAGGAGATGAGGCTGCCACCGAGGAAGACAGCATAGCCGGAGGTGGAACGGCGGGTGTCAGGGCAGCCAGCCCATTCAGCGTCGGTGTAGACGATGAGCTGAGTCGGGGCAGAGCGGGGAATGACAAGACCAAAGCCGATAGTGCCCTGAAGGTAGCGAAGAATCCGCTTGGCAGCAACAAGATGAACTTCCCGGGGATCATGCATGTGCAGGCAGACTTGTTGAACGGCGTACGCGATGTCGGGCCGGGTGAAAGTTAGGTACTGGAGAGCACCCACAAGGCTGCGATATGCTGTAGGATCATCAACAGAGGGGCCGGCATCAGCAGAGACTTTGGCACAAGTGTCAACAGGGGTGGAAGCAGTCGCTCATGCCATGGCGAGCAAGAATGTCCAGAGTGTACTGACGCTGTGAGAGAAACAGAGTGTCCTTCTGTCGCTGAACTGCCACGCCAAGAAAATGGTGCAGGGAACCAAGATCCTTCATGGCAAATTCCTTCTTCAGTGCATCAATCACCCGGTATAAGAGCGGCTGAGAGGAGGTTGTAACAACAATGTCATCCACATATAGGAGCAAGTAGACTGTCTCGGTGCCGCGGTGATAGATGAAAAGGGAGGTGTCGGACTTGGCTTCAGTGAAACCCAGAGAGCAGATAAGAAGCAAATCTGGCTGTACCATGCTCGCGGTGCCTGCTTCAAACCGTAGAGAGACTTGTTGAGCCTGCAGACGTGTTCGGGAAGAGCAGGATCGGCAAAACCAGTGGGCTGAGAGCAGTACACCGTTTCTAACAATGTCCCGTGAAGGAAAGCGTTCTTCACATCAAGTTGATGGATCGGCCGATCCCAGAGTGAGCCAGAGTGAGGACGGTGGTAACAACGAGTCGGCTTGACAGCTGTGGTGAAGGTTTCATCGTAATCAACACCGGTATTGTGTAAACCCGCCGAAGCACCCATCGAGCCTTGTGTCATCCCACGAGCCATCAAAGATGAAACTTGTGTTTGAAAATCCATTTGCGGTGACCACATTCGCCTTGACAGGCGAGGGACGAGATCCCAAGTGTGGTTGTCAAGAGAGCAAAGATATTCTTCTTCCATAGCCCGGACGCCAATGGTGATTGGTAAGAAGCGTCCACAGCGCAGGACATGGCGGAGGGGACAGAACCCTTGCAAAGAAGCGAGACGAATTGCTTTGGTACCAGATTTCCACTGGTCGCCATGCCATGAGAATTGGCGGACAGGCGGGATGGGAAACGGCGCTGCCGGAAGCGGAGGACCACTCTTGACATAGCGCGCGGTGAGAGGGAATGATGTCGGAGCGTCGAGGAGCCCATGCGAGGGGCTCAAAGGCGAAGTGGGTGCCGGGGCACGCCGGGTGTAGACATGGACGACGGGCGGTTTGTCGAAGTAGGATCTTGGGGCGCTGCCGACAGGGGCGCGTGGACGCGATCGATGAAGGCGATGATGTGGCAGGCACTGCAGGGGGCGCCGTGGACGTCTGCAGAGGGGGGCGCCAGCCGAAGCATGGTGAAGCCGGGTGGGGAAGACCGGGACGCCGGTGTGCCTAGAAGCGAGCACCAAGGCGCATCGACGGCCGGGCACGTGAAAAACCGGTGGAGGTGGCTCGACGCTGCGTGCGATCCCGATGCATCGGAGTGACCGATGGCACGAGCTAGGAGGGCGCGCAGAGGCGAAGAAGGCCGGTAGGGGCCCACGCCCCTGGTATACGCAGTGAGAAAAGAGACTGACGGGGGGTCGTCATCAGTTAGAAAATCAAGCTCGTGTGTAGGTGGTGAGGGCCGACGAAGGGAGAAAGGAAACGTTGTTTCGTCGAAAACAACGTGGCGAGAGATGATGACACGGTTGGTGGCGAGGTCGAGGCACCTGTAGCCCTTGTGATCGGGAGAATAGCCAATGAAAACGCACAGAGAAGAACGCGGGGCGAGTTTGTGAGGAGTGGTGGCGGTGAGGTTGGGGTAACAAGTGCACCCAAAGGTCTGGAGGTCATGATAGGAAGGATGAGTGCCATAGAGCGCGAAGAAAGGGGTGCTCATGTTTAGAGTCTTGGTGGGGAGGCGATTGATGATGTGGGTGGCAGCGGCAAGGGCATCAGCCCAATAGGAGGGGGGCATGGAAGCTTGGAAGAGCAAGGTGCGGGTGACATTGTTGGTGGTACGAAGCATGCGCTCGGCTTTGCCATTTTGCTGTGAGGTATAGGGGCAAGACATGCGGAGAGAAACACCTTTAGCAAGAAAGAAAGCACGAGACGCAGAGTTGTCAAACTCACGGCCGTTGTCACATTGCACGGATTTGATGGTGCAACCAAACTGAGTGAGCACATAGGCGAAAAAATTAGAGAGAACAGAAAAGGTGTCAGACTTTAAGCGAAGAGGAAAAGTCCAAAGAAATGAGAGCAATCATCAAGAATAACTAGATAATATTTAAATCCGGATACATTGATAATTGGGGATGTCCACAGATCACAATGGATCAAATCGAAATTATGAAGTGCTCTCGACAGGGAACTAGTAAAGGGTAAGCGGACATGGCGCCCAAGCTGACAAGCATGGCAGAGGGGGTCATCATCAGGCTTGCTACAGATAATCGAAGAAGACTGGGTGAGGCTCTGAAGAGTTGCCTTGCCGGGGTGGCCGAGGCGACGATGCCAAGTAGCTGGGGAGGGAGTGGCCACAAGAGCGCAGGAACTGGAGGGCGACGACGGGAGCTGCAGGGTGTAGAGGGGCCCTGAGCTGTTACACCGAAGGAGGACGTTCCTGGTACGGAGATCCTTCACAGAAACACCAAGAGGGTCAAACTCAACAGAAACGAGATTATCAGAGGTGAACTGTCGAACAGAAAGAAGGTTTTTAATGATGTCAGGAGCTATAAGAACGTAGTTGAGATGAAAGGGACCAGGAAGAGTAGAGTAGCCGGTGCCAACGACCGGTAAGGTGGCACCATTGCCCACCACAATGGAGGAAGGAAAAGAGGAGGATGGCGACATGGTGACCATACCAGGGTTGGAAGCAATGTGAGAAGTGGTGCCCGAGTCGACAACCCAGTCCGAGGAACTTGGTGGCGGGGTGAGGGTGACGGTGCTGAAGGCGTTGGTGAGGGACTGGGGATCCCATGGTGACCATGCAGAAGGGGACGTCTGGGTGGGCGCCTGGTAGTATGCTGCAGGAGCCGGAGGACAGTATGCTCCAGGAAGAGGCATGCCCGTCATCAGAGCTTGTTGTGGAGACGAAGGCGGGCCGACGCGAGGCGGTGGACCGCGAGGACCACTGGGAGCGGACCCGGTCCAGATATGGATGGACCCGGTCCATGGGTTGAGGAGGGAGGGCCACTGCGATCCGCCTGGCGAGCCACTGTGCGAACCGCCTTGGCCACGGCCGCCGCGACGACGCCGGCCACGGCTGCTGCCAGATGACACCCCCCCGGCGGCCTGTGGAGGGCGCGGGGATGCAGGCCCAGATGTCGACGAGGAGGCAGGCGACTTGCTGGACGAAGAGGCGATGAGAGCCGAGGGAGGCGCCATGTGGAGCTCAGCCAGGCGTAGGTCGGCGCGGACGTCAGCAAACGAAGGGAACGGCCGTTGACGGGTGACGAGCTGCGACATGAACCGGAAGCGCTCGTTGAGGCCACGCAGAACATTCAGCACAAGAGTACGGTCGTTGATGGGCTCGCCAAGATCGGCAAGTGCATCAGCCATACTCTTCATCTTGCGGTAGTAATCGTCGATGGAGAGGGTGCCCTGGGAGAGGGTGCGAAACTCGGCGTCGAGAAGCATGGCGCGGGACTCACGATTGTTCAGGAACTGCTGTTCGATCCCGAGCCAGGCCGCCCGAGCAGTGATGCCGTCACGCTCGTGGATGACGTCCAGGAGGTCGGAGGAGATGGTGTTGAAGAGCCAGGAGACGACCACACAGTCCATGCGCGACCATGTCGGATCGGCGAAGCGGGAATCGTCACTGAGGACGTGGTCCTTCAGAGCAAATCGACCGAGGATGAGAAGGACGTAGCCGCGCCACTTGGAGTAGTTGGAAGACTGTAGATCAAGAACGATGGGGATCAAGTTCTTGATGTTCGACAATGGCGGCTTTGGCATGCAGAGATGAGCAATGGCGCGGCAGCGGGAGCTCGCGTCGTCGCCGCCTAGGGTGTCGTCGTCCCGGAGGGATTCCGTCGCGAAGACGCTCACGCGAAGCAGCGGCTTGTTCCTGTTCCAGCGTCACCTGACGCGCTCTTGGTCAAGAAAGCAAAGTGGCGGCACGGACGCGTTCTCTCGGCGTGGCGTACGACTTGAGAAGGTCGACCTCCTCCTGGATTGCCGATCGCGGCTCGGAGTTGGTGATGCGCAAGGAGACGGCCTCCTCTTCCAGCGTCTTGGCGGCGGCGAGGGCTTCGTCGCGAAGCTGAGTCGCGGTGGAAGCTGCCGAGGCGCCGGAGGTTGAGCCGCCGGAGTGGGGCACGGCAGCCGAAGAGGCCATCGGCGCTGCAGCCATCAAGGTGAGGCGCGGCGGCCGAGGGGACGAGGGAGGGGGGGGGCGGAAGCAGAGGGGTGGGCGGGAGGTGAAAGGCCCAAGACGTGATTAGTCTGATACCATGATAGAGGAATGCCAACAGGCTTAGATTCACTTAATGATGAGATTACAAGAGGGTTACATATAAATAGAGAATATAGGGTAGCCCAAAGGGCCAGGCCAGCCTGGAGGAGGCGGCATGTACAGGTAGGAAATAAATACTCTAACACCGTTGTGTCATCCTGGTCCCTAAACTTACAAAACGGTCATCTAGGTACCTAAACAATGTTTGGGTCTCATTTTAGTCATGCTGGTTCTCCATCCAGTCCTCAAACTTGTCTACCTATCTTATTTTGGTCCGGAACTATCAAAACACTTCTACTCTCTCCGGTGACCAGAGGCCGGCACGAAGCTGCTGCTGCAGCCCGTCGCCGCTGAGCTCCCTCCCTCTCTACTCTCCCGAGCCAACGACTCAACCTGTCCTCATGGTCTCATGGCGAACCCATCGTCATTGTTGTTGAGTAGGAAACCAACGCATCCATCGTCGGTAGCATCATCGCGTCGGCTCTGCCTCCGGCAGCGCTCCAACTTCGCTGCTCCTTGCCTCCGCCTTGCACTCGGGCCACCATCCCTGTACACACTCAAACAAGTTCCTCAAAGATCTTGTCCATACATAACAAGAACACGAGTTACAGACACGCCACGCCACACCCTCGGCCGACCACAGCGTGGACAAGGTGGTGTGCCCGGCTACGGCAGCATCGATCATGGCGGCGTGTCAAGACCTCGACAACTCGGCACCGAGACGCCGCAAGCCACCGATCAATCTGCGTGGCGTTGCAAGGCCTTTAATTTGCGCACACGGGGCCACGAACGCGACGGCGAGAAATCGATGATCTTGTCAAGCGCGGACGCGCGGGCGTGCGCCGGGTCACGTCATCGCGGCGGGGTGACGAATCGACCGAAAGTACGCCGCTGCAGACCTCGATCTCGTCGTTGTCCGACGATTCGCCGTCCATGACGGATCCGAGGCTTTATTGCCGTAAATGCCATCTTGCAGCCGAGCGAGCGCGTGGATAATGCGCACCGTCGCGCAAGCGTGGCATATGGCCGCTCTGAAACTTCTCCAAGATCGGCCGTGGCGTGGCCGGGCCAGACGCAAGACGCACGACGGAAAGCGCGTCCATCCGGTCATGGCTATCTGGCGTTGTTGCTCTCGCCGCCTGCAGATGCATTCCACCAACAAACAAAGCTAGGAACAGAAAACACGCATCGTGGGAATGGTAGCCGAATCGTGTAGGGGAAGCAAGGAGAGGAGGACGACAATGACGGTGGCGGCGCATGTCGCGCGAGGGCTGCGGCAACTTGTGGCACTGAGCACGGCTCGTGAGGGTTTGCAAGTGGCGGTGTGCCTCCCTAGCTGCGCCATCCCAGGGAGAGAGGAGCTTGAGAGAGAAGAGAGATGGAGGTCATGGGATAGAGAAGAGCGAGGAGGGAGATGAAGCTGATTAGTGGCCCCCACATGTCAGGCATATGGGTAACGGGTTTAAACCCGTTTGGACTGAATCTGAGACCCGAACAAGGTTTAGGTACCTAGACGACCGTTTTATAAGTTTAGGGACCGGGATGACACAGCAACACAAGTTTAGGGACCGGTAATGGACTTTACTCCTTTTACAAATCAGTGGTGTATAACTTAGGAAGCAAAAGAACCATGTAAACTCCCAGGAAAAATTACAAGTTTTGATACATCGGTCCAACAAGGATGCCAATTTTTAAGGAAGGTTAGTTGCAAAATTTTAGAAGTACAAAAACTATACTCATTTTGCATGTTTTATGGATGTGACACTGCCAAATGCTGCATTAGAAACGTAAACGATATCTTCTTAGATCATGCCTCTGTAATTCTATGACATTTGCTAATCAATAATGGCATGAACAGCTAAAACTAGAAACAATCGCCAGTTTTCCACTCCCATACCAACACTAATCACCTTAAACTTGTTAGCCAGTTTTGAATGCAGTAGCAACAAGTAACAAGAAAACATGAAAAAACTTTTATCCTTCAGTCTTGTAGCCTTCCTAGCAGTAAATTAAATTGCCTAAGGTCGATGCTAGGTAGTATATACACTGACAGGCAGAGTTAAAACAAAAACACGAGATGTCAAAGTCGTACCATGCCCTTGAGCTCCTTGGGCACCTTGACGACGTTGTCAAGGCACCCGAGCGCGTTAGCTACGGAGGCGAAGACGGGTTCGGTGGCCATGGCCATGGCGGCCTTGGTCTCATCGAGCGCCTGCACGACGTGGAGCACGCCCGGGTGGCGCAGGCGGACGAGCCGCACCGCGTCGGCGCGGACGAGGTCGAGGAAGGCGTCCTCGGCTGCCTTCGACAACCCCGCCCGCGCCCGCGCCTCGGCGAGGGCGCGCTTGTCGAGCACCCAGACGGAGACGACGGGGTAGGGCGCCGAGGGGGCGCCGTCCCGCGGCCGCGCCGTGTAGATCCGCCACGCGAGCCCCGGCCCGCCGGACCCGGCCTGGTCCAGCAGCTCGTAGTCCTGCAGCGGGCGCGGGCCCGTCACCTCCTGCACCGTCGTGGACACCGTCTTCTCGATCACCGCCGACGCCTTCGCCAGCGCCTGCGTCAGGGTCTTCATGTTGAGCGCCATCGGCCCCCACCGCCGCCGCTGCCGCTGCCTCCGGTGAGATCTGGGAGGCCCCGGGCGCGGTGGTGGATTTCGTCGAGGAGGGGGGTCGCCTGATCGGTCGGTGGCAACGCGTGTTTGGTTTAATTACTTTACGGGTGTGTTTTTATTTTTTTATTTTTGTTTTTTAATCGGTTTTTCCAGGGGAGAAGCAGCTCGTGTGCCATGTGAGACCGCGAGCGAGGGGAGGAATGGAGGATGATGCTTCGTCGCGAAGGGGACGAGAAGGGGATTGTTGGTTCGATCTGGGCCGTTGGTTCTACGTGGTTTTGGCCGGGATGGACGGCTGGGATGCGGTATTTTGGTAGGCGTGGCGTCGTGGTCCTATCGGGAGACAACGAGCAGCAAGTGGTTAAGGCAGTCCCAACGCGGTTGCTCTAGTCGTTTCTACTTTGTACTATGCTCCGTAGCATAGAATTGAATGACATGGATGACGTGTCTACGAAATTAATGAAGAAAGACGAGAGGATAGCATGAAACGAGAAACGATCGCCCCTTGCTTCAAGGCGTGAAGAAACTATCGATTTTGCGTTGGGAGCGAGACGTAGTTTCCATCGTGTTGCTACATCGAGTGTACTATAAGGGGGAGAAGAAGACTCTGCACGCGCCAGGGTGCCATGCCGCCAGCCAACTGCTCGCTCGCCTCAACGTTTCGACGGACGCGCATACTGCCTACCTGTCGTCGTCCACTTCTGCATGGCCGCTTGGTCCAATTTTTTATAATTTGTTTTTTTTAAGAAAATTTAAGTTTGATCTTGTAAGAGACGTAAACTTATCTTTGATCCTAGGGGTCAGCGTCAGGATTCATGGCGCCGAGGTAATATGTCTCGGCGCCACAGATCTTTGCTCCGAAGTGCCTGATCGTGCACAGCAGGACATCCTAGGTGGCGTTGACGTGGCCGGTACCTCGACGCCAGAATACATGGCTCTGAGCTCGGCGCCACAGATCTTAACGCCGACCTCGGAGCCGGTCAGATGCTGTGCTGCGACGGAGGTGATGAGACGTGCAAGCGGTAGCAGGCCAACAGTCACTCTCTCTCTCTCTCTCGTAGTATGTGACCGCACAGACGCGCTGGCACTGGGGAGCAGCAGCAGGCACGGCAGTGCAGGGATTCCTGCGCAGCATATGAGAAATTATGAATCCTTTCTTCTCTCACTCGAGTACTGCCCCCTTTATTACTCTCTGCCGATATGCAGCTAGCAGATGCATCCGGTTGAACCAATTATGGACTTAGCGAATCTACTTTTCTTGATCAATCTTTTAATCGTTGTAAGTTTGAAAATCCGAAACCAAATGGTCCAACTGATGCGACCTTTGCATTATTTAGAATTTAATCAACTTTTCAAGCACAATATTGACCATGTTTTATTTTGCTAACAGGTCCACAATATTGACCATGGTTTTGTATGAGTATACAACTTGTAAAACCTAAAGTAGCATGGAGTTCGCTTGAACTTATCAACCCGGCTTATCAGCCATGGTATAGTATTTTCTCTCGCAAGAAAACAGCATCAATCGACTTATTAGCCGTAAAAACCATCAGCCAAACACTTTTGCGAGGTTCTACATATTAATTTTTTTATTACAACTGAACTTAATAGCGACTATACTGAAATTAATTCGCAAGAACACTATAGTCGCTGTTCATAGTCATATGCATGCATGTGACGAATGGATCATGCATGCCGTACTGGTGTATCGTGCTTTAACGTAATATATTTAAAATTGTTGTTGTAAAAACAACCCTGTTTGATACGTACAGTAGTGTGGCTTGGCGGGAAGAGTGGCACAGAGACTTTCAGCCCGGCAGGGTCGCAGCGGGTTCAGAGTGCTTTCTGACGACGGATTTGACAACTGAGGCCTGTGGCGCAGCACACTGATCTCCTCCTACACGGTTAGGCATCGGGCCAATACGCGAGCGCACCGATTTTCGTGCAGTAAACACAATGCCCCTCGGCCAATACGTCGTGCATAGCTAGGCCGGCGGGAGCATTGCCGCGCCATTCTCCACGGCGCGTCAGTACCGCGCCCAGATCCGCGGCGCGGCAGCCCCAGCCACGTCAACGTTCAGCGGCCCTGGTCACTGCCACGTCATCGCCCCTGCCGCGCCCCCATGCATGACGCGGCAGCTTGAATTCGTCGCGTCATGCGAATAGGCGCGGTCAAAAGTGTTAGATTTGAAAAAAAATAAACATTGTCAAATTTAAAAATAGTTTTAAAAAAGTGTTAAAAAAACCCAAAGAACCCATGCATTGTGTGAGGTAGCCTAAATGTAGTTTCTTATTGACGTGGAATGGAGAGTAAAGAGGTCTCCTCCATGAACAACCTCCCTAGGCCCCAACTGGCCATCACGGGAGGCTCAACCGCTGATGAATCAGACCATGCCCTGTCGTCGTGGCTATTGCTGCTACTCCCACAGACACACCCGTTGCCGTTGTCATTGCAGCAGCCGCACACTGGGTAGAAGGCCCTTATCAGCTGTCCGTGAATAGCTCATCAACTGTGGCAGGGGGAGTGTTCGGCTAGACTAAAAGAAAACCACTGTTCATACTGGTTTTTAACTGTTCATGCTGTTTTTTTAAAGAGAAAAACACTGCTCCGGCTGGAAAAAAAAAGGGCAGCCAGCCAGCCAAATCTGGGTAGCCGAACACAGCCATGCCCGCAAGGACTCCCTGTTGATGAATGGAAACAAGCATTTTTTTTTGTCTCACCAGACGGTATGGTATGACAAAATATTCCCGAGAGGGGGTGTTTTTGGTGGGTGCTCTGGATGGCTCATCGGACGGTCCAATGGTGTTTTGGGCAGTCCCATGAGGAACGACCCGATGAGTGCAGCTACGTTGAAAGTGTGGATCTTCGAAGGTACAAGGCATTGGATGCTCCGAAGGGATAAGGCAAGGGGGGGGGGGGGTTCATGCTTAAGTGTAATAGTCCTTAGTTGGTCAGAACGGTCCGTAGGCTATTGGGCTGTCCGATGAACCTCATCGAACGTTTCGATGGCCGTCGACATAACCTATTTTGGTACGTGTTCTTGGGGCTTTAGATATATTTGGAAACTTTTATTCAATGTTTGAGTTGTGTTATACCTAAATTTGTTAATGTAGGTATCCAGCTATATATGATTCATCTTATGCTTGAAAACTAAAATGAAGTATTGCACCTTATAGATCACATAAGTTCTTTTTCATATATGTAGTTTATCTCATCCTGTAATCCTTACGTGATGCAACACAATGATTGGAATCTAGATATATTTGGATCACAATATGATCAAGTTTTTTTGTGTGCTTTTTTCTCCATTGGCGAAATACCCTATCCCTGTCCGCTGATCTTTGTCTCAAATCGACAATCATCTAGGTTTCTATCGTGTTGTTCTTGCAATGATTTTGCATTTTTAATCCAACTTTTACGGTACGCATGAATGAATAAATGATTTACAAGGACGTGCGCATGGGCACGCGCAAAATCACTAGTGTCATCTAAAGGGGTATAGTTTCAAGAATTGTTCAAAGTCATGATTATATCTTTATTTGACAAAAGAAACAGACGGGCAATTCCAACTCACTCTAAATTAACCGTGCTGTAATCTTATTCGGCCAGATGATCAGTGCATGATTGAACAAATTAATGCCAAAGAAAAACTCACGGCGGCTATCTCAAATAGATAGTACCGGTACTTATACTGCCATGGATGTTTGCTGAATCTGTGTATAATATAACCCAACAACGAAACCGAGATCAACAGTAACAGTGCACTTTGCGGTGGCCACTGCGGAACTTGCACTCGCCGCCGCGGCAGGAGGTCTCGCACCACGAGTTGCAGGCACTGTTCTGATCCGTAGAGCACCCGTTGATCTGGTTCTGCGAGCCCCATGAAAGATAATCTCTCTTCCTGTTCGTATCACTTATAAGCCGTATTTTTTAGTCAACAAACATTATTTTTCTCTCACAACAAATTAGCCAACAGTACTTTCAGCCATGACTTATCAGCCAAGCGAACAGGACGTTTGCAGCACATAGGATTGGACGAGGCTGTGGCAACACGCAGATATCACATGGACAAGAAACAAAGCATGCATCTGTTAGCTATTAGTTCTAAACAAAACAGACAAACGATGGCATTATAGAGCTGCGGTTGCTGAGAGAATAAAATGTGTCCTCGTCATCGCCAAATTACCCGCCGATGCAACAAGAAAGGCGAGCACGATGAGCACAACTACTGCACCCGTACGCTCCATGATCCTCTGTATAAGAATTTTTTTACGAGCTAGCAGAAAATATTTCGATCTCGATCGATGATGTTATAGTTCGTCTTTGAGTGCCTACGGCTATTTATACCTGGAGAATGCATGCCTTTTATTATACAGTATCAAAATTATGAAAATTAATATTATCATTTACTATGTTATGGAAGTTAAATTGTTTCCTATATTATTTTTTTCAATTTATTTCGCTTCCAAATTGTTCCACAAATGAATGCCTTCCAAACCAACATACAGAGGAGGCCGATTTTCAAAGTTCACCTATTACAAAATCACATTATTTCTAAAGTAGTAAAGTTACTTCGCGCTGCTTTATTTATTCATCTTCATGGAAATATAATGACATCATGTAATTGTATTTGTATCTATACATGACGTTACAGAGCTTTGTTACTTAGTAATATTTTCATGGTTCAGACAGCACGGTGATTTGCCCAATTCCGAACAAGGGCGTGGTGAAGCGTGCCTCCCCAATGTCTAGTCACCACCTCTTCATTGGTCCTCGTTCGCTTGTCTTAAATTTGGCTTGTTCGGCTTGTTTTTTCAGCCGGAACAGTGTTTTTCTCTCACAACAATTCAGCCGAAACAGTGCTTTTCAGCCAAAGTTCAGACCAACGAACGGGGCCATTGTGTCCAACAAAAACGGGCGAGTGTAGCTTAGCGTGGCTGCCGTGCTGGTGTTTTTCCAACACCAATCATGC